ATGTCATGGAACTTTGTTTTTATATATGACAACTGCAGCGAGATTATTATATGCTCAAAACTGGAAAGGTCCGACACTATAATGGAGGACTGGTTGGTGGAGATGATAGAACTTGCAGAGATGGCTAAATTAACCTCTTTGATTAAAAACAATCAAAGAAAAAACAATATCTACATTTATGGTTGACTGGAAACTTCTTATAGACTTGCTGCATGAAACTGAAAAAATGCACTTAGGATTTGGGTTTTGATGATTAGGAAAAAAAATGGATAATAGAAAAAAGGAAGCTTTTTTTGTAATCAGAGTAAAAGATAATTTTGCAATTGTACTTATATTTGCTGCAAAGGAAATTGGAGGCTTATTTCTACTTTTTCTTTTTTACTTTTTTCTGCATTTTTGCTTTTTCTCTCTCTCCTTTCTTCTTTACTGTTTCTACTCTTTAGTAATTTGTGTTAGTTTTTACATGCTTTGTAAAACTTTTAGTAAAAAATATTTAAAAAAGGAATTATACTTTTTGAAAATAATTAATGCATTTTATGATGTGTTTACTTGACATTTCTTGGTAATGTATCTGATATGGGATGTTATCAGTTATAAAAGAAATATTACTTCCTCCAATATTTTTAATTTAGGGTTGAGCATCCTAATAATTCTTAGATTGGTACGGTGATATTAATACAGAGAGTTCACTATTTTCCAAGAAGGAAACTGGTAAAGATAAGGCTTTTTGTTATTGCCTTGAGTAGTTTATCGATATAACTAAACAGATTTTTGTGAAAATGAATACATTTATAAGAAAAATGCTATTCCTGAAGAACTAGCTTTTTTCTTTCTTTAAAACCTTATTTTGTGTTAGAATAATGTTCTTACATATTTCACTTCTAAAGTAATATAAAAAAACCAAATTTGTTTTCTATTCAGAGCAGCTTTAAAAAAAAAATACTGAGGCATACACATGTAAAGGAAACCAAATTACTTAAAGAACTTTAAATTTCAAGGTTTAAAGTGATTATTCTATTATCTAAGTCAGTAGTGAGATATACATTTTTCTCTCCCGAAGACAGATTATTTTTTATGTCTGTAAAAAAAAAAGGGATGGATGGTAATCATGATGTCACTTATTGGTGGAGATAATTTTTTATTAATTTATTGGGAGAGTCCTGGTGGTTTCAGGGGGTGGGGTGTTGCTTTTTTTTTTTTTTTTTGCTAATTAAGCTATATAATGGCAGTTTCTTTAATAAGAATACATAAAAAGAGTTAGAGTTAGGGTTAGAGTTAGGATTAGAGTTAGGGTTTTCCACATACATACACAAAAGGGGGGGGGGATTGTACTTTGGGCAATTTGATATACAATGTAAGTGCATGTCCTAAGGGATTCTGGAGGATCACAGGATCCAAAAAGAGCTCAAGCCCAACATGTGACCTGCTTGTCTTTTTAATGCCCTTTTTGGGAAAATTTAAGATGGGAGCAGAAGCCAGAAAGAAACTAAATGAACATTTAAAACTTCTATATCTATATTGTAAGAGAGAGAAGGGGAAATGTAATCTCAGTGTGTTTTTTTTTTTCCCCAACCTCCTATTATAGTTTCAGAAGCAGGCATTCAACTAAGGCAAACAAAATTAAAATGTGCAATGTCAGTCCTGTCTCACCTCTCTGTCAAGTCCAGCAGCAACTGTGATAATGTCACCTGTTTCGTTGTTGATTGTAAACATATTTGGAGAAGGCGTGCTTGGGGCTTGTGACAAGATTCTGTATCTCAGCATTCCATTCAAAACGTTGGGGTCGTCAGCATCAATAGCAGTGACAGTCATCACATAGGTCCCTAATGAAAGACCCAATAATCCTCTGAATTAAATAAACAGTTTACTTAGATTTTACTAGGGCACTTTGAAGCACCAAACGTGGCTTAAATATTTACTTCCTCTGACAAAACACATCACATTCCTTCAAATCAAACATTTTCCCTGAAGTCTGTAATTAATAAGGAACAACAAAAACAAAAGGCCATGCGTTTATAAAAATATCAAAATTCACCTACTGCTAAAAGCAAATGTAAACTCTTGTGTTTAAATGGCTGCCTCCTTGACCTAGCTAAAATGTATAGCGTGTTTAGAAAATGAACCCCAATATTGCAGTAAGATGTGGTTGTTAGTTCAATATGCAGACTCATACAAATGTTCATAAATGGCATTTCTAGTGACCATTTAAACTGCAGATTTTTGAAGCAGTGAAAGTTGTTGGCATGTGATGAGATACAATCTGTTTTGTAAAAAGTCATGAAAGTATGTATCAATTAAAGAAGGTGCAACCTCTACTATACACTCAGGACAAATCTGACCATGCTCCAGGACTACGGATTAAAGGATAAGAGAGTGAACATTTGTACAGCATAAAGTTTCAAACAAGGTCTGGCATATTGAAGCAGAAAGAAAACTATCAAATTCCATTAAATTCACATAAATCACTGGATATCTCCCATAACATTTGAAGAAACAACTAAATAATCCATTATTTAGTTTAATCCATTATTTAGTTTAATATCCATCTGAATACACTGTATATATTTTTTCTATTATAAATAATTTCCTCCAAGTAAGTACTAATCAGAAATTCACTTATCTAAGTCTGAAACAGACTTGTGTAATTGTACATATTCTCACTGGATCTACTTGTTTACTATAAATCACACTTTTAAATTTCTTTGTTAATATAATTTCACCATCCACCCAGGCATACAATTTGTCCACTGAAGTTTAAAGAAACATTTTGCTTCTAATATAAAGCATATATACCTCTGAGTTTTCTTTAATTCAATATTTCCTTTGAGAATAGCAGCTTAGGATCCAAAACCCAAATTTAAGCACTCAATTTATGATTATGAGTTTTTAAAATGCTGAACATGCTAATATATCTTCTGGAGAACGTAGCATCTCAGCAATTTCCAAGAAATTAACTTTAAATAAATGTCCAGACCTAGATCAAGGGCATTTGGAGAAACCTTGTTTCATCATGTACTCTACATTCCTCCATGCTAGAACAATGTAGTTATTTGTTAGATTTCTATCCCAATGTTATTCCAAAAGTTCAAGTGCATAAATAGCATTCCCTCCTTCCAATTTTTATTCACAACAACTGTAAGGTTGGTTGGTTTGAACATAATAATTGGCCCAAAGTCACCCTCTGTACTTCCACAGCAGAAGATGAATTGAACCATGGTTTCCTCAGTCCTAATCTAACACCTTATTCTCTATTGCCATGGCTATAATTTTCAAATTTAATGTAGGAGTGCATGTGCATGCACTAAAAAAGGAGAAAACATGATAATGGCTATGATTAGAGGAAGGGAAGGGAAAATGCAGTCAGACTATCAAGATTCTGTTATGATAGCCTACATCAATAAAGCATAGTTTCAGTCAAACCTGTGGAGTCAGTTGCCTGATCTCATTTTTCTCAATGGGCTGATAAAACTGCACAAAAATAGCAAGACAATTCTCACATCTATGCTTTCTTTCTGCGTCCCCTTCAATCAGTTGCAGAAGATCTTGCAACCCAATAGAGTTGTTTTGCTAGTCAGGCTGCTGCAAAAAGATATGGAATCTGTTCCAGTAATGGACACAGTTCCATTTGCTAATACACTGGACATAGTGAAGAGTTTCTGGAATGTTGCTTGGTAATTAAGAGTCTGAGCTACAATTAGGAAATTCTTTGTTCTAATTATCTCACTAGATGGTTTTATGCCAACTATTCTTCCCTGAGTGGCTACTCATCATCATATTTGCAATATTATATTAAGAGTCCTTTTTAACATTACAATAAGATAATGAATGAGGGGAGCTTTGAATACTCCAATGTTACTACTGTATTATTAAGTTCTTTTTCACACTGCATGCTTCTGCATGTCCACTTCTAAATCTGCTTCTTTCTACGATAATTCATTAGTATACTACAATTTAATATGCACAATGGTGTTACCACAACCTTTGAAGTCAAATATCAATTTTTCTAATAACAACAATAACAACAACAATAACAACGGCAATAGCAACAACAAAAGATCTGGAAAAGCACTTGGACACAACAGGAATACATAGAATCTTAGCTCATTAATGACAAAATATTGCATATATTACAATTATATCTTTAGCTATCCTAAATTCTTGGGAAGGATATGATAGTCCAAAGTACCAAATCAAGCCATAACTATCTGGAAGACTGTATCTAAATAGATCTTAAGACCATCATTACTACCACCACCATTGTCTTAAAAACTAAGCACGGAACAGAAATAAAGAAATATCAATTGAATAAAATATGCAAAATTATAAAAATAGACACATTACAAAGCTAGGCAAGTCTAATTCTACAGGATAATGGCATACCAAACATGTATTTACAATAAAAAGAACAGATAAAGTAGGCCATTTAACTTATGTCAAAGTTGTGCAAGAACAATAATATCTCAGAAATAATTTTGTTTTCTTCTTATCGTCAGTACCAGGAAACATGGAATTTCAGATCTCCAAATCAAGATCCAGATCTGGTTTATCCTGGGCACAAGTTTGTCCTGTTTCAAATCAAATGAATTGAATTAAGCTATTTTTTGAATCAATGAAGAGGGATATTAAGTAGCAGCCTCTGTGTCATACTGCAAGCTCTGCCCCCATATCCATCCCAATATGGATGCCATTGATTAACTGGAACTTGTGGCTAATGCAGATGAGCTTTCCTTTATTTAGAGAAATACAGTTAAACTTTTATGGGTACATAATCTTTTTGTAAAAAGTGACTAGACAGTTTAAGTTAAATGTTTAAAAGGTTTTAAATATTAAAATAGGTATCTTAATATTAAATATAAAATAGATGACTATTGAAGTTTTTAATATTTTACCTGGCTTTGATCCTTCTGGGACTGTCCCATTCCAAACCTGATGTAGGAATTCAGGTCTATTGTCATTCATATCAATGACATTAATAACGATATCAATAGGATTTTCCACCTGGTTTCCATTTACATCTACAGCATGTGCCCTTAGCTGCAAAAGATATTAAGAAATCACAAAACTTGCAAAACATGTCATCAGACAAGGTAATCATTGTTGCTGGCAGGACATTTTAAACAGAACTCCATTAACTTAGTTTATTTTTTTCTTCTTTTGTCATCCCCTTTTGGTCATTTCAGACACTTGATGACAGATTTTAAAAAGTAATATGTTGAACTAGCAAACCCCCATGATGCTTAAAATGAGCAAAACAAGACAAGACATTGCTGAGGAGTAAACACATGTTATATTGTTGTTAACAATAACAATAGCAATAGGAGGAGGAGGAAGAGGAGGAGGAGAATACTAAAGAGAAATGTGCTAGAGTTATGAAATTAGATAAAGGAAGAATAGAAAGAATTTTTCTTCCCATTCTCATAATATTAGGATTAAAGTCATTAAATGAGACTAATTTCTAAGATAGTCCAAGAAAATAAGTATTTTTTCCACCCAAAGAAAAATTAATCAGTGGAATCTGCTGCCACAAGATATAACAATTAGATGGAATGTTGGGCTTGCTTCTCTTTCAATTTTCAGTTTTTTAATGTTCATCAAACATGAAATGTTCTGCTAGTAATTCATTTATCTATGCATCCTCTTAACTATTTCCTCTACTGCAATTAATTTCATCCCCAAAAGGTGTTTATATTTAAATTTACCACACAATTAAAAAAACTATCTCATGGTAGATTTATTTTTTATTTCTGAAATGACTATTACCATTTAATATTCAAATAAAGCTTATTTCTTCTAAATTATGAGATTGAATTTGAAACCAGAAACTGAAAGAAAATATGTTTCTCATTTTTCTTTCTTTTGCCTAATCCATTCAATCAAATTTGAGTTGTTAAACTATCCAAGTAATGTAATTTATAATGCATGAAAATGAACATCATGTAGAACATCATTCCTTCATTCATTCATTCATATA